AAAAAAAAAAAAAAAAAAAAGTAGAGTATTTCCGTCTGTCCATTTCTTATCTGTGGCCATGGGAACGGTAAATGCGGTGCACCGCGTCACTATCGGCGCTATCAATTTCGATTACTTGTTCTTGAAATATAAACAAGCAATATCGTTACAGTATAAAAAGAATGGGTATTTTGTAGTTTTAGATGGTTATCAGACAATCATGTTACATATAAAAAAAAATAGTTAGGTTTATTAATTTTCCCCTTACTCAGGGGACTGATGTTCAAACTAGGGTGGCGCTATAAAAATACATTTGGATCAAGAAGAAAAACTTGAGAGCAAACAAGAACTCTGACCTATCTATGTCAGAGGAGCACTGGAATTAAAAAAAAAGCTAGAGTGTCGCTTTGTTTAATGGATAATGTAATGTATACATACCCGAGACAAACGCCAATCGGTCGGAAACAAAAGATACAAATTGTAGAAGAATATGGTATGATGAGTATGGTATAAGATAATTCATCTTGCTTACAAGGTATTTCCCCGTCTAATGTCGGGTGTGTTCAACATGTAAATGATTCTATTTTAAAAGTATTCAACTATTAAAAATGTACAAAGTAATAAAGAAGTCACTGACCACTTAAATACTGTTCAAAATTCCTACAGGGTCAATGATTTCAACGAGCGAATTAAATCGATACAAATCGGAAATGTATTCCTAGGTCAAGTTATAGTTGCGGAGATTAGTTCTTAATGTTAAAAATTAACATTTAAAATTGTTAATTAACCATTTGTATTCCTTGATTAGTATGTACAATCAAGGAATTTCGCGGAGTTCCATCTTTAAAACTAGTGGTTTAACCATTTAACCAACGACATTAACCATTAGTATGAAGCTTTTAAATGTGTACGAAAAAAAATCGGTTACTAGTACACAGGATTTTTTTTTAATTTTTATCCCATCTTTTGCACAACTCTCACTTATTTATTATTCCTCTTCTTGTGTAAGATGACGTAGACTTTGTATCGTAAGAAACAAAGCATTTTGTCCGAAGTGTTTCGCCACGCACCTCGTAATTCCGCGATTGTACAAATCGTGCGTAATTCAAAGAAAGCAGATCGATTTGTACGCTTTCCTCGTATGACAGTTGACAGTTTCCCGCCATCGCAGTCAGCCGGACGCGTTAGTGATGTGCCAAAACAATAGAGACGCGGGAAGCGGTCGCGCGCCACGGCGAATGCAAACACACCGACATTGTAACACTGACATACAGACGCGAATACTTGGAATTCGTGCGCTAAAACAATTCGCCACACATCGTGTAGACTGAAAATTTTAGATTGTTATAATATTTAACTTAGGTATTAATGTAGACTCAACGGAACGGAATTACAAGTGAGCAATCGGCCGGTTACATGGAAAAGACTGTCACAGATTACTGTAGAGCTATTAAATCTTCTATGATCTTTCTTACAAAAAGCCAATTAACTAATTACGGAAGTCACATAACATCAGACAATGTGTAACGAATACTTGGCGTGACAGTTTTGTGCAGCGCCCTTACCGGGCGTAAAGCACGTCAATGAATCTCGTACCCTTTTGTCGATGTCGTTACGAAAACGTTCTCACACATATTCGTGATAAGCCCTAAGCTGTTGTAAGAAATATATTTGAAATTAATATTTGTTCTCTTAATTTCAGTTCCACGTTGGTGTATGTCAGGAAATCCTTTTTAATGGCTGGAAGACGACAACGGGACTGGAACTCTTCGGGTCCGCGGTTGCAATTTTCCTCGCAGGGGTCTTGTATGAGGGTCTCAAGTACTACAGAGAGGCCTTACATACTAAAGCAACTACAGCAACTGGGGACTCGCAAGTTAATATTACTAAGAACGAATGCGGTAACCAGGGATCTTGTGGCGGTACTGCTGTTGTCAAGTGAGTATTATCAAATAAGCATAACCAACACACAGTATAATCAACGAGTCGTTATCACTAGGTGGTAATTCTAGTTTAAAACACCTCAGTTTTATTACAATAAATTAGTTTACGATATCCTTATAGGGATATTTATCAAAAATGAGATTACTTATCTCATATATCTGATACAAGTTGCGTATTACGTTGATTTCCTTAACTATAATGTTTTATTTACTCCAAAACAATGTAAAATGATAAACACTTTGTACTAGTTTGTTATCAAATGTTAATAAAAACATGTAATGAAATATCTTGCATGTAAACAAGTAAACCGACATAGTTATTCAGTAGTATTTCAGATAACTTTGTTAAAATAAACCTATACTTTACCTCATATCAAAATTAGAATACTTAAAATAGCACGAGAATATTAAATTGAAAAAAAAAAATTTATACTTGTGCTTTCCGTCACTAGATGTCGTTGACACTTGACCTTTATAATCACTTTTAAAAGAGCGACATCTGTTGATAAAAATCGAAAATAAATTACTTTTATACTTAACTTTATAAACTTTAATTATTTCTAGATATTCAATGCTGTCAATTGGTCACATAATCCAGACTTTACTACACTTCGTGCAATCGACAGCATCCTACGTCCTGATGTTGGTGTTCATGACGTACAACGTGTGGCTCTGTCTCGCGCTAGTACTGGGCCTGGCTGTCGGATACTTCTTCTTCGGCTGGAGGAAGACAACAGTCGTTGACGTCACAGAACATTGCCAATGATTTGATTATAAGGACTGGATTAATTGATAAAATGCAAAACATTTGAGTAACTGATTTTAAAAACATGACTTTAATAAAACAATCTGTATTATCAAAAGTCTAGTGTTATTGCACTATACATTTTATTAGTTTTATAAAATTGATCCAGTCCCGTTTCAAATTGTAACAGTATTTTGAAGCTAATTTACCTTAAAAATGACCAATTTATCTACATGTGGCGCCACTGTCGACAATGTTAACTGTATTATCGACAGTGGCGCCGTCAACAATGGCTTGCCACGACTGTAGTTATAATTTTCAACACATTGAAGATGAATTGGTCAAATAATAAGTAACGATTTAATGTTTGAGAAATAATGCATTGAATTAATGAAGCCATACATAGTACAGATATTTTACTCTTGCCAGTTAACGAATGTTTTATTAAAATTATCATGGAAACGTGTTCGGAGAAACCAACGGCTAGGAATCACTATTTAGCGAATTATCATATTAAGTTTGTGAAAGACAAGAAACTAAACATAAATACTACGGAATATTTTAAGTACTTTTCATTCAGTTTAATGTAACTTAAGTGCCAAAACGTATCAAGGTAAATGGCCATGACAGTGTCTTCCGTTTTATAATTGTTTTTAAACTATGTAAGAAGAAAACTTGTTATTGTTAACAGTATTTATAGCCTGACCAGAAAGATAGAAACCCTCGCTATGTTGCGGAAAATTATGGAACTAATATCTTTGCTTGAACGGAGCAATCCCAGATCATGGTTTTCAATTTGGTTAGGCAAAGTTTTTGTAAAAGAGAGTTATATAATCTTACTACTTATGTATTGTTTATTCCATTATCTTAATATTTTAAGCATGATAATAGTTTTCTTAATATAAGAATTGAATGAACTATGTTGACTTTTAGTATTATATAGAAAAAGAACCAATTTTAAGACATGTCTACGTGTAATTAGGTAAAAATTGTTACGACAAAGTCAAGACAAGACTAGTATATTGCCTAAAAATGTGAAAATTACTTTTCATTGTATTCAAATGGACCGATTTTTATATATTTACAAACATTATAAATAAAATCGAAAGCAATATTTAAAATACTTATTATATATTTTTTTAATATACATTGATTTATTGATATTGTTTGTTATTTTTTATTTTGTGATATTAAGCAAAGTGGTTTATAGTTTTAAATTGTACTATCGCAAATGTATTATTAATATTGTACATAAAATAAACGTGACATTCCTTTTTACTTTAAGAAATTTGTTTCATTTCTAATAAAAATAATTAACTATCGTTTAATTATCAATTAGTCCTTTCTCTATTCACTAACCTTACCAACCCACAGTCTATCAAACTTATATTTTTAATATAAGAATATTAAAGAAAAAAAAAACAATCAGAATGCAGTTATTTCAAATACTTATATTATTTTCTATATTTAGATCATTAAAAAATTTAGATGTCACCTTCCATGTCCACATGCAACTATTAAAAATAAATAATTAGTAGCCTATGTTCCTTGTGTTCTTCTAGCCTATGTTTTATATCTATTCCTAGCGAGATACGTTCAGACGATCACAATATACGTAGTCACAAACATCGGCTAGATCCTCTGGAGGGACGTCAGTTCCCTCTGCATTTTTTACCGTATTTACCACGGGGAGTGTTCCGAGGAGTTGTTGTCCCGCACAGCCGCGTTGTGTAACGGTCTGTCCTCGGCGGTATTTCCAAACCAATACTACTTAGGGTCCTTCAAGAAGCGAGCCTACAATTTCCTCAAAGGCCGGAAACGCATCTGTAGTTCCTCTGGTGTTGCGGATGTCCATGGGCGTCGTTGATCACCTCTGTGTTCCCGCCGCTCGTTTGCCCCCTTCTCATATAAATAAATCCATTCAATGCGAATTCAAATAAAATCAGTAGCAGTCAGAATTTTAAACTATAATTTAAATACGGATGTATCAAACGAACGAGTATTCGTTAACCGCTGCCCATACGCATCTGAAAGGGGCTTAAGATAGAAGAAAAAGAAAAAAAAATTTTTTTGCTCCAACCCCTTTTAATATTAGACCCATCATCTCTTTGCACCTGTTCCTCAAAGCACGAAATATCCTTTACATTTGTCTACTGTGAACTCACGCCATTTCAAAGGCCAAATAGGCACAAACGCACAGACAAATATTGTAATTCTATAATAAATAAAACACTACTGCCTATTGGCAACTGCCTACTGCCTATTAAAACGTGAAATAATGTTATTTTGAAAAAGAGATTTCGTCTTCATTTAATTTAAACCGTACCTTTAAAATGTGAACAGCCTCCAGTTTTCTTCTATTCGAAAACAACATTACTGAACAATGTTTTAAACCTACACAATCTTATAAGAAAATGAATTTCTGAACCGCACTTACGTCATGACTGTCATGTCAGTGAAGTGAAATGTGACGGGTGTTTCATGTTTTGTCTTTTATATATAACTTGTTGATTTTATTACTTAAATTCAAAGTGAAATAGCTGAACAGTACGAATACAGTATCCGTGATAGATATGTTATAGTTCCACAAGTGTATAAATCGTCTGGAATTCGTCGTTCACGTGCCTTTGGAGCGTATTGTCCAGGTAACGGTATATTTTGCTTTTAGACGTTGATTGCTATTTCTCGTTAAATCTTGGGTAATTGGTGACTTATAATTTTCAAATTCGATTCTCGATATTTATATTCAAAATTAATATGTATTATTCTTGTAATTCTTTCAATAAAACCTTGTGTAATAAATTTTAAATTTGACAAGTTTATGAGTGTAAAGTTTGACATAGTGCGTCGCATACTTTAAGATAAAACACGCCGTTTTTAAAGCGGTAATTTTAACCAAACTGTTACTGTATATCAGTCTGTTCTATGTATGAAAAGAAGCTTTTATTTGGATATCAGTATATGATCTATGATGAGTGAGTTTGTGTCAAAGCTACAAAATTACATATTCATTTTTAGTATTATTTATTAAAAATAAATTGACTAAACTGGCAACGTAGAAAATATGCTTAAGCATAGAACATGACCCAAAAGGCAAGATATAAACTTTTCATATATAGTGGGATGAAATAAGATTTTACTCTACAACTCCTTATTTTCGTTCATAGACAATAAATTTCACAAATATTAAATTATTAAAATGTTTATATTTCACTATTTACACATATTTCTTTTAATGTCTTGTACACAAAATGAAAATAATTTGTTTCAAGAGTTTTCATGTTTTTTGTAAAACTTAGTGTAAATGTGATCCCAGAATATCAACTGCTGGCCGGATAGAAGTTGATTTGCTACTGTTTTATCGAACAATAAGTATGGTACTACAGTGATCTTGCCTTCCAAGTCATTAGTGTATGGTACAGGCTCCCAAATAGCTGGTATTAATGTGGTTGTCAATGGTGTTGGGTCCCTGAAACAATATTTTGCTGATAAATTTTTACTGCATAACAACTCCCCAACCTTATCTTACTCCTGTAGGGTTTGCACACTAGGTTTTTGTCCCTCAAATAACTCTATCACCCGTCATCTCAGTCATTACTCGCTTCGTGATCACTTCACCTTTTACACAATTCATCCATCTCTTTACTGCATAATATTGATGTAAAATTTATTTATTGAATCAAGATGATGAATTTAATATGAAGCTTGGTTATTGGTTAGACTATATCTTGTCTCTCTTCTCTTCTATTCCTATGTCCCCAAAGTGGGGCAGAGGGCGTCCACAGTACACCGCCAGCTCACTCTGTCTTTGTCTCTGTCTGTCTGTCTCTATATCTTGTCTACTTTAGTTTAATTATAGTTAAAAGATTGGGGAATACGTAACTTACCCTACTTTTATGAAGTTGGATATTAATTGAATTAGTCTATCTGAGATCACTTGCTCTTCACTGTTCAGTTGTTCGTTTGAAAATATATACATGTAGAGATCTCCGTGGCCAGCACCCTGTATCTCCTCGCTCTTCACACTGCTCATGCTGCCTTTGTACATAAACTTCAGCAGATAAACTGGCTGAGTAGCCCTTGCATGCAGAATTGAAGACTTCACAACAGGGTACTCGATAAAAATGTCGTTTACATAATCTACATAATTTGGAATTAAGTTGTCTCCGATCATGTTATCACCAAAATAGAATTCCTTTACCAATTTTGCCAATTTCGTTCTCAAGTCTTCACTTTCAAACTCCAGGTTGCTTGGTAACAATTCCTTAAAGTTTGTGGGAACGAAAGTAAACCTTTTTATGTTATCCGAAATTATTTTTACTTCAAAGGCATTGGAAAAGGCCATTATTATTGGCACGTGGAAGAAGTGCGCGTCTTTCAATATATCCAACGGGTCCACATCGAGAAGACTGTTAGTATTAGACTGATCATGTTCAATACATGGTAGGAACATTTCTGTTACATTCTTCAAACTCCTGATGGGCAATTGCTGATAGAAATCGGCAAGTTTGTTCGCTTTCGCCTCACCATTGTATCCTAGCTGTGCGGCAACAGTTACAGCCGTGGAGAAAGGCGTGTACGTCACTGAACTAGGGGCTATAGCGGAACCGGATTCTAAAATCATCCGTTGAAACAATCCGGTGGTAGTACGAGAAAGCAGAAGTAGTTCCACTGCGACGGCACCAGACCCCGTACCGTAAATAGTAATATCAGATGGATTCCCGCCAAAGTTTTTAATGTTCCTCTGCACCCAGTATAATGCGGCGACTTGGTCCTTTAAGCCGGCATTCCCCGGTGCCTCGAATGATCCGAGGCAAAGGAAACCGAGCACTCCCAAACGGTAATTGAAAGTGACAATGACGAAATTTTCTTTTAGTAAGCGAGATGGTGCCCTGTAGGATCCCCATCTGAAACAGTTTTCGTTCATTTTATGATTGAAGAATTAGGTGTATCTGTTTTTTTGGAAGATGCTCGAAAAGTAAGCTCGCGCTTGTTTCCTCTCACTATTGACCTAAAATGCGATTAGAAGATGTTTTATGACTTTTCGCACATAGTTTAATCATTAATTTTAAATATTCTGATTGGTGTAAATTACCCTCTCTGAAAGTCTCCGTCGTGCACATGAACGATAACGGGCAGCGGTTTAATGCTGCGTTGTTGTTCCGGCGCGAACACATTAACGACGAGGCAGTTCTCCATCCCAGTCTCCTCCACTTGAGGACATTTGACGCGGTGTGTGGCCTCGAATATACCGTCCCACGGGACTGTCGGCTCGGGAGCCTGGAATACATTCGTTGTTGTGATGATTTCGATATCTATCTTCATCGTATGACGACGAAAGTTTGCGGACATTGAGTCCAAGAATAGTATCGTAATCTCGGCTAGTCTGGAATTTTCTCAGTAAGATCTAGATTTGTAGATCTCGAAAAGAAATGTCTATGGCAAATTTATTTCGCTCCTATAAGATTCTAAACATTGTAATAAATAACTTTTTATAAACATTACCTTAAACCTATGATGTAAGAGAGGTGCGCGGGCGTAGGGAATTCCCAGGAACACATGATGAGGTGGATCCGGGTAAAGATACCCTCTGACCTGACCATGAACTGTCTTGACATCCCGATGCGGCCTCTTTTCCCCCAAACATTTCGACACCACAAACAAAACCACCCACTCTTTAACGATCATGATCTCCTAGTACCCATATTTGGTAACAAAGAACTATGTCACACTAGACTGATTGTAACAAGACCTAATCGTCTATTGGAGGCGAATGTATACTCTAAAACATTTACTACGACTCTGTTATGATAACATCTCGCCGTCTTTAAGCAACGATAGTGATGTAATTAGTTATACAATTTTGGTTGGAAATGAAAGACTGTTTTATTCAATGCATATTTATTTGTACTACATGTGATATTGCTAAGTATACTACGCATTACAACATCGATTATATGTGATTTTGCAGGGTTTTCTATAATTACGAAGATATAACTCGACTAAGTTTAGAGTAAGAAGACTTGAGTAAGAGGATTTTTGGACATTAGAAGAACATTAAATTAGCAAAACACTAGTCATAGATTGAGCTGCTTAATATTGTTTTTTTTTTTACCCGAAACGTGATTTAATGAATGCTTTTCTCATGTATAAATCGCTGCACAACATTGCTTAAACTAAAAGTTTCGATATAAAAATAAATATGATTATGGTGAACGTAAAAGAGTAAACATAAGGGCTGGTGCGGACTCCGCGGTTATGTTCCACGAAGTATGTCTCATATATCTCATTCCACAGTGTCAGTCGGTCGACATGGAGTCCTTTCGATGGCTTTACTTTAGTGTCAATCAACAACCAATCCTCGTTAGTTTCAGTTGTCTTCTCGAATTGTCGCCACTCAATACCTTCGGCAGTCGGTTTTCTAAAAGAAAATATAAATATTATTAGGGTAGGAGTATATGCATAAAGAACTAGTAGTATTGTATAGATTAAAATTATTACCCAGATTGTATAAAACTTGTCCATAAATCGGTTATCAGTTCTATCATTTGTTTTTCTTTACTACCATCGGTAACTATATGACCTTCTCGACAGAAAATGTAATTAACAATATCTCCTCGAGATGCACCGTTGACTGTAATCGAAGTTGATATCTTGATGTCATCAATTGACTCATGAATATGGTTTTGATTTAAATCTCCAACGAACGCAAACTCGTAGAAATAAACCGAACCCCCAGATGATACTAAATGTCTAGCAGCTCGGATCATTGGACCTAAGTACGAAGCATCCGTATAACATAGAGAAAGTTCCTCTATATTATTCAATGTTACTTTATCTTTACCAAAGTATTGTTCTCTCAATCTGTTCCCGACTACCGATCTTTTCTTTTCATTTTCTTCAAAGTCTAAGTCGTCTGGCAAGATAATACCAAAGTCCTCATTCAGTTTAGCTAAGCTTTCTGCAGAGTGGTCTAAAGCTTCTTGCAATCCAGCATGACTGGTAGTACCTATCATATAAGTCATATTTGTTTTTAGATTGTTGAGCATATTAAATGGAGTTTCAGTTATAAACGAATTAGTACCACTTTCTATACAAGGTGCGAATTGTATGTCTTTGGCTGCCGTTACCAAAATTCCTATGTTTGAAGATTCCAGTCTAAAAGACTTGGTCGTAACTACACCAACGTTAGGAAGATTCTGCATTAATATTTTTATAGTTGTTGCGGGATCTCTATCTATCGCCCAATGAGAGAGCACAAATCCACTTTCGACAATAACTTTTGAAACGTAATCTCGTGACATGGGCGCAAGTGCCAAATACCCAGCTAATGCTCCCCCGCCGCCCTCTCCGCTAACTACGATATTTGAAGGATCACCACCGAAAGATTCTATGTTATCTTTTATCCATTTTAAAGCCAAAGTTAAATCTTTCAATGCCGCGTTACCAGGTACTGAGTCATTCTGTGAACACAGAAATCCAAGTGCTCCGAGTCTATAATTTGGCAGGACCAAAATGATTCCCTTTGGCACTATGTATTCTGGTCCGTATACAGCTGGATTTCCACTTCCCATATTAAAACTTCCATCATGAATGTGAAATAAAACGCCTCGGGGCTGTTCGGTTGCCACAGTTGGTGTCATAATGCTTAACGTTAGGCAGTTAAGATTCCCGACAAATCTATTCAAGTGTTCAATTTGCGGGCACCGTGATCTATGTTCCTGTTCATCGTGAACTGTTTCCCACTTTTGACTTGGAGAAGGTTCCTGTAAAGAATAATTAAGAATTTTAAAATGTAACTCACTGTGAACTAAGATATTTCTACAACATGAAAAGTCAATCAAAAAAATTTTTTTCGTAGTAATTAATCTATGTTTGCTTGCTTTCATCAATGATTATCGATGAGTTTTCTATCTAAGGAATATACATGCTTTGAGCTAAATCCCAAAAGTAACCATTAAATTTTACATATTCCTATCTTGTGTTATGTCATTATTAAATTTTGTCCTTACCTCAAACGGATTATTATCGCTAAATGTCCCGTACGGGATATCATAGAACCTTCTTATATTTGGCGTTTCTTTATGTATGAAGCCTTTAACCGGTCCACTATTGGTCGAAATTATTCCTTCTGTATATTTGTTATCATTACCAGTACTTTCAGTGTGAGGCATATCTATATTTTCTGTCGTCTCATCAGCGTAAGTTAATTGTATTGTCAGGATTATTGCTAACCATTTGATTGACGCCATCGTTGTTTGAACAAAAATCAATTAAAATATTTGGATTCAGTATTAGTTCCAATAACGTTGGAAACTAATTACTTTTTTTCATAATTCTTAACTGTTAATTAAATGAAGCACTGAGCTTTCGTCGAACTTTACTCAAGCATAAAACTATACTGACCCTAAAACTGATACTACGAGGAAAGGCAATCGATAATAAAATATTCGCTGATATGTACAATGCTGCATAAAATTTTAACATTTAGAATATATGGAAACTTTAGCTAAGCAAAGACTTCGGCTTCACGATGACAAGAGTAAAACCTTTTGAACGACAAAGTACCACAGTCTCACGTAATACTCATTGTCACCTTCTCTAAAAATTCTTGTATGTGTTTTTTCTTTGTGGGTTTTTTGTGAGATCTTATAGTTTGTTATAGTGATTCATCTTTATTTACATTGTAAGATGTATTAAAATCATTTGGAATCTTTTGCCAAAATAATGTATTTGTGCAAAACTATTAGTTGGTGTAATATTGAATGCATTTATGCATTTGACTGTACCTAAGCCAAATTCATTATCGTCAGGCAAAGCAATGTCAACGAGCACTATCATAGCACTCGTGGCTTTGGCGATAACGGTTATTGTTGCTTCCATATTGTACCACCCTTTCTCCCTTCGCTATGCTATCTGGATTACACTGCTGTTTTTGCACGATTTTTTTATGCCCATACCTCCTTGCGACCACATAACCAATTAACAGGCGGTATTATGGTCAGGCGCGGCTTTGTAAAAACATTAAGTGCTCAGTAGCAATTCATTAACTAACCTTATTCAAAGTTGTTCGATCATCGCGTGTGTAGACTTAATTAACAGAAGTTTATTGTATTAATAAAACAAATACATTCCCATCAGTCCTCCATTAAGACAACGACGCATTAGTATAGTAGACAGTGAAATATCTATGGATTTTCTATTTTCTTTTGAATACAAAACCTACGATTATTATAGTATGCTCTGTTGATTTTTTGAATTCATAAGCTTCAGCAAAACCAAAAGACTTGCTTTTAAGTGCCCTAAGTTTTCACGTTTAGATAAAAATACACTCGAGATAGGAAGTTTGCTAATGAAATAAATGAATATAGGAGATATTTTTATTAATATAACGATTTAAATATCATTCTGAATATCTTCCTATACAGCTCTATTTCTTGTGTAATATTTCTCGTAAACTTCATCCCACATATCCATCGCTGTAGTGCGTGGGTAATCCATCATTTCCATTTCCATTCCAATATTTAGAAGACGAGGCACGCGATGATCCAACGCTTCCCATCGCGCAAGATTGCTGATGTCTGGAGTAGGATTCCTAAAAATCCAAATACTTGATATAAGATAAAACTCGGACTTTTTTAACTTGGGCAGTTCAAACCATAAAACATTCCACCTTGCATCTTGCCCGAAGGTACTGGTACCGTGTACCACACCGTAGATGGGGGAAATAGTGTAGACATTATTTAAACATCTATTAATGCATTATTTTGAACAGCGGACATGTATTATACTTACAAATACTTCACGAAGTTTGCCCATAGAGTAACTAATTTGTCTTGCACCTTCCCGTCATCTCCACTAAGAGTCTTTCCATTCTCAGAGAATAAGAAAGCCAATTCGTCAGAATGCGCTGCTCCCACTTTATCCATACCATTTTCTGGTTCAACTCCAGTATCTCCAGAGTGAGAAAATTGATAGTAGTAGACGGGATAGGTTGTTGAAGACGAATGCAGTTTAGCGCTTCTGTGTATGTGATTGATGAAATATGCGTCGCTGAAAGGAGAGAAAATTTATCAACGAATCGATGCTATTTTATTTTCTTTTTCAACAAGATTTCTTACCTATGATACTGAATAACAGAAGTAAGATTAAAGTTCCCATTCTTAAAATATATTCCTTTTATTTTGTCTCTAGTCTGATTTAATTCTCTTGAACCCAAATCATCAAGTTCCATGGGTAGTAGGAACATCATATCTGTGGAGATTCTTTTCACAACTTGTGCAAGTTTTAGCATTTTTGCAAATATGTATGCCTCATTGTTATTGTACCCAATTATTAGTGGAACACCGATTACCTTTCCATCAGATAAAAGATCATAAGGTGGTTCTGCTAATAGCCTTTCTTCTTTCTTGAATGATCTTTCTACACAAATTCCAAATGGAAAATACGGCATATCTAAATCTTTTGATTTTGTAACTAAGTCTTCTACATTTGTTTCTAACAAAATGTTTGGAAAATCTTTATTCTTGTAGGCCATCATTAATGTCTTTATTCTAGATTTTGGGTTATAATTGAATGCCCATGGACTTAAAACAGTTCCGCTTTGCATTATAACCCCATGGAAAAGACCTTGAGACATTGGTGATAGCATTATAGTCTCTACAATCGCTGCTCCGAAACTCTCTCCCGCAAGGACTACATTGTCCGAGTTGCCTTTAAACGCTACAATGTTATCTCTAACCCAACGAAGTGCAAGTACGACGTCTTTAACACCAGCATTACCTGGTATTTGTTCTTCGTGCGTACATAAAAATCCAAGCGGTCCCACTCTATAATCGAAAACAATATTGCATATTAATCCAACGTTTTATGAAAAAAAGACTATATAACTATAATACCTATGTCGAACGGTGACCATTATGATCCCTCTTCGAACTAATTGCCCTGGATGGTAAAAACCACTACCTCCTTTAACCCACACAAGGACAGACCAAGGTTGGTCGTTTGGGTTTGTTGGTACGTTTACGTCCAGTTGTAAACAATTGTCGACTGGAGAAGCGGCAGTGCAATGTGGATCATTAGCTTCTCTGATTCCAGTCCAAGATGGTGCTAGACCAGCTCTCTAAAACATCGCAATAAATAAGAGAAACCACACGCCTTTAGTTTTAACATACTTACCCATAGTTTTTCTGTGCTACTATATCTTTGACTCTGTGAACAATTTCGTCTTCAATTCATGAACCCTCATCTTTATTTTCCGCTATCATAAGTGCATTTTGGATCATCCGTGGATTCAAGAGATACACCTAACCGCTTTTGCATTCGCTGTTTTAGTGTCTACTGAGAAATTGAACACACTTTCAGACACCAGTTGTTGGAAAGTATGCTTACCTTAAACCTACCAGTTCCATTAGCAGAAGCGTATGGTATGCCGATGTATGAAATATACCCTTCTTTAGACACGCCACGTATCAAACCTTGCGCTGTTGTTACCACATTTTGGTGAGTCATAGAGACAAAGCTAGCTAATATTAAAATCAAGTACATTTTTTTCTTGATTCAATTATTTTATAGTAATACTAGTGTAACCGCCAGGTGTTGCAAGTGATCTGAACGTTAGTACTATGGGTTTGTTACAGGTGTCATTTTATCTGCCAATTGTGAAAATGTTTGGCATTTATATGCATCGATGCGTTGCTTCCTATGATTCCTCTTTTCACTTCCGTAATAATGGAATTGCATGTCAGATTGCTGGTACTAGATATTGTATTACTAAAATGAATTTTTGTTAAATGATTTTTTTTTGTAAAATCATATGAAGTAATGAAACAGTTTAGTCTGTTTTACCTTTTTTTACTGGAATCATAGATAAAAAATAGACTTGTTAATTTCACATTCATTTTAATAATTTCAATCAAATTTCCTTATGAATAACCTCGTAATTTCCAAATTAAGTACAGCGTTAAAAAAATCGCAATTTTTCTTACGAAATTATAAAAAAGTCACAATAGGTAGAAAAGCTTTACAAATACACCACACGTACAAATCTTAATCTAATTAAAACATAGAATTTCACACGACTAGTAAATTACCCTGGGTTTCCACTGCCGAAACATCTGTATAGAGTATATTTTTATAAATTATCCATTTTTTATTCTCATAGAAAAAAAACAGATATGGTAATACAGGTTTTCCGATAGTGGAAACCAACGGTTAAATTGTATCCAATTTGTAACTACACTAGTACGCTCAACTCCGCTTTGGTTACATATACGTCTGTTTTTACATTTGTCATTAAAAACTGAGATCAACCGATGCATGCTTGGTCAGTAACAGAATAATCATGCACTAATATCGGAAACAGTATAGTCGAATTCTATAGAAATAAGAAATTATATGAACATATTTCACAAACTTTTATTTGTTTACTAGGTTCCGCCCGTGACTCCGTCCGCGTGGTATTATTAAAAACAAAAGAAAGTAGCCTATGTGTTCTTCCAGACTATCCTCTACCTCTATGCCAAATTTCATCGAAATCGGTTCAGCCGTTTAGACTACAAACTCTAACAAACATCCATCCGTCTAAACTTTCGCATTTATGATATTAGTATGGTTTCCAATTTCCATTAAATTCGATTTAAGACAAAGTTATTTAACTGTTGTAGAATTCTTTGGGGTACTTATAGTGCTAGAAATGTACACTAAAAGACTGCTTCAGTAACCTTTAAATGACTAAGTATGGCAGATAGATTTTATGATCAGTTGAGCTTACATTTCAAATAACAATTCAATATGAGAAACCGTGTTAATTTTTCATATAAAATTTCATTCCAAAATCGTTTCTATTTCAAACCTTAAATTAAGTCTTAATCTAAGTGTATCAAATACTTCAATGACCATTATTATAGCCGATAAATTGTTTAAAGTAGGTTTACACTGCTAAAACAATCGTACAGAAAGACATTATCCTTCTTGAAAAAACTACGATACGATTCTGTACAGTTATCTCACCAGTGAAAACTGACGGTTACAATCATCAATGAGTACACAAACTTAATACTAAGAGTCTCACAATTCTTAATAAATAAAAGTACCCTCACTGGATACCTTGCAAATGTAAATGTCATTTTGCAGGATATTAAATCCTCATCGCATTAGATTTGAATCTATAAAAAAAGATTGAAAAACATTTGTAGAAAACCTCCTTCTTATATTTTTTTTTGTCTTTTTCTTAAATACTAAACCAAGTGTATCTTGTCAACGGTTGACTTGGTTTCTATTTTGATATTTAAATTAATAATTAAGAACTACAAAATTCTTCAATCTTTCTAAGTAAAATAGCAATGGCACACCTATTAGCTATATGGCGTCGGACAATTCAACTCATAGTGGTGTTGTACAGATTATCGAAGAATTCTAGCATTTCTATTTGCGCATCTGTTGGGTCGGTGGACTTGTAGTATGTGTTTTCTATTACTTGATATCTCAGGTACCTGTCAACTGGTCTCCAAGCTGCTATATCGTTGCCAATGCAATTGGGATATCTACAACAAAGTTATTCTGGTTTATGATTTGACAAATGTAAATCTATTAAGATAGCTAACAATCGTTGAAGTACCAGAATGTACTTTTTAAATATGATAGATAGGGGATAAAAAACTCACCCGCATTTAACGAAATTGCTAACAAACGCAGTCATCCTCTTCCTCATCAAGTCGACTTTGCTGCCGGGAGTGAATGTTATATACTTCCCCACAATGGAGTTAACTTTGAACGCATACGTCATATCCTCAACATGCGCCACACCTTTATAATTTATATCAAATGCTGTTTTAATCACGTTAGGCATTCCTTCATAAGTAAATTGGTACAAGAATACCGGAGCACCGCCCATCGCTTGCTTCATTTGCGCTACCTTCATAGCTGGATAATTATAAAACGTATCGGAACAAGAACGTACATAGTTATCCATAGTGATATCTCCATTGAAATACTTCTGTTCTACCTCCTTCGCTATATTAAGTAAGTCGCTGGCTGGTGCGTTAAAAATGAGATTAGGTGATAATACTAGCAAGGGATTGTCGTTTATTCTCGTTACCATGTCTATTTGTTCAAATCTCGGACGGAAGCTCTCGCATTCAGCGCTCGTGAATCCGATAAACATTTCCATGTCTCTACCAATACCTTTGTTCATTAGCGTTATAGGGTCTTCTAGTATTACCGGATTTACTCCTGGTAGTTTCTTTTCTAGCACTGGGAGGAATGTCGTTAGTCCGAAGTACTCCAATAGCATGCTGTGTGCATTCATAATTTTCTCTAGCGGCAGTTGGATTAGTTGGCTATGCGCTACTTCAGGGTCTGTGGTCGTGATGTTGAGGTGCGTTAGGAACATGTTTGCGATATTTTGCGCGAACGTCGGCGATAATGTGTAGAAGGCAGGCATCGCGGTGCCACTCATCAATATCAATCTGTAATTTATAATAGTTAATTAAAATCAGAAGTAAACTCATGTGTAAATCCGTCGAGGATCTTTTATTTGATTGATTGAATATATTGATCAAGTACTTTTTTACAATTCCCCTTGAAATATACCTATTGAATAGTCCGTCGGTGTCGGGTGCGAATGAAGCGAGATGTGCAATAGTGGCTCCAGCGCTCTGCCCGCCTAGTGTGACTTGCTCCGGGTCGCCGCCGAAAGACCTCGCGTTAGTCCGTACCCAACGCAGCAGTGTGATGACGTCACGTATAGCGTTGTTGCCCGGTATACTCGGAGTGTTCAATGATAAAAAGCCGAATACATTCAGCCTGGAATTGAAAAAAACGATCGTTGTAAATTTGTTGAAATAAATTTATAATTGATAAATAAATTATGTGAATTTAATGTTTCATGGATAATATGAATTGAAATCTAAGTTTCATTTCCAATTACTGATTCAGATATTATTTTATATTCAATAGCTATTATAGCGCCTGTCGTGATACCCGTAGTTTTTTTGCGTTTATAATTACTAAGGCGCAAAATATCTTTTATTTTATCACAGAGAAAAATATTAAAAATCAGTAAAAATACTTAGATTGTTAACAAAAAACAAATAAAGTATTACCTGTAGTTGAAAGTGATTACGATAATACCCTTGCTGACAAGGTATTCCGGCCCGTATACGTCCGAGTTGCCGGACCCGAATGCGAAACCGCCGCCGTGTACAAACACCAATATAGGAAGACCCTTCTGTTGTGACTCATCTTCTTCATTCAAACCTTCCTCGTAAGGCGGCTTTAGATGCCTTGAAGGTCGTCGCAAACTAGACTCTGGCAACGCCTCGATCGGTACGTGTATGTTAGCGTATATGCAAGCTTCTTCCATCTTATTTGACGTCATCATTTTGCCGTAAAACACATCCTGTTGCGGACATATCGGGCCCTCTTCGGACGCATCCAGATAGTCCCATGGGTCTGCCGGTTGCAGCTCCTGTAATTTTTTTATATCTAGTAAGGATATGACAATTTTTTTTAACGAAAATATGTGATACGTTTAGTGACGATATTAAGCAACCATTCGTTTAGTCTTTGTACCCCTTAATTTTGACAGTCCATCGTTTAATCTTGTGAGTCCTATAAACACTTCGATACGTATGATCGCCATACAAACATCTTTTGGCTGCTATAAAGTTCGACTTCCTAGTATTTTTTTATCCTACCTTGAACCTCAACTCTCCGAGTGGTTGTTTCGCGTACGGCACACCTCGGAAACTGGCGTATACAGTGTTGTTCTCCGCCCAGCGTCGCAAACCGCACACCCATCCGGATTGCAGCCGGGCACGCACCTCGCATCCCAATGGTTCTGCTATTACTGCTGCAACTGTAATATAATCATTCGTAATACATGAAAATTGGAACAAAAATATTAAGGATAAGGTTACCAATTTCCACAGATTTAAAAAAATACTTAACATTACTTAACAGAAAATTACTTTTTCTATAAAAATATATTAATATGTGCATAGCTATGGCTGCCTTCTAGTCTAGTTCTATGCACCTCGTAGCAGTTCGTAGCTAACGCTACGAGGCTACATATTGATAAAATATTCCACTTAGAATACATTTAAAATGATCATAATTCAAAGAATAAAATGAAATCGATAAAACAAGTAAAACACTGATTGCAGAAATAATTATGCACAGTCAGATAAGGCGGTGGAAAAATTGGGTCATTTCTTATCATTGTTATAAATATATTTATTAACATAAACAAATACATAATATGCATTTATACATAAGTCATCTGGAGCGCTAGATTGTATTTCCAGTTCTCAATCTACAAGTATTAAAAACTAGCTTACGCCCGCGACTCCGTCCGCGTGGAATTCAAAAAAACAAAAGTGGACTATGTGTTCATTCAAACTATCCTCTACATCCATGCCAAATTTTATCGAAATCTAGTTCAGCAGTTTAGGCTACAAACTCTATCAAACGTCCATCTAAACTTTCGCATTTATAATATTAGTAAGAAGTAAGATTACGTTCTTTCCTAAATGTTTTTCGGTCTCCAAACCTTCAAAAAACGTTATAAATTATTGATAATATCAAAAATCCCACTATTAATTAGACTGAAGAATTCTAATTGAACTCTGCACTTGTCAAAATTATTTAAGTCGCTTAAGCTAACAAACGTTGACAATTAATTTCTGGATTGGACTTACAAACTTCAATACACCCGAAAAATATTTACCCTCTCTAGTCCAGTTAAAAAAGCCAATTTACCTTCATCATGCTTGGCTATTGGGACAAAGTTTACGAGAATAAAACCCGCGAATCGTTTGTATTGTTATGTAAGTGACTCCGGAAGCAATCGTTGTGACCCGACGCTACGTCTTATCGTAGCAGTGCAACCTGTTGCCAACCGCCGCATACCAACTTACACGTGCTTGCAGATAAAGCTGGGGTGACCACGGTACATCGTAATTTTCAGACTTTCCAATTTTTAAAGTATAAATTACAATAACATTGACAATATCAATACTCAATTTGTGTATAACTAGCTGTTGCTCGCGACTTCACCCGTGTGAAATTAAAAAATAATACAAAATATCGGTTATGTTACTTTCAGAAAAATTACCTTTCTAATGTTAAAAGTTTTTTTAAATCGGTCCAGTAGTTTATGGGTGAATCAACTACATACAAAAATCCAAAAATAAAAAAAATATAAATATTTTTCTTTATAATATTACTAATATTAGATACATATTTGTATATGGGTTTATTTTGGCGATATTCACGTAATAAATATCATGATCCCTTAAAACACAAGATATAATGTGTTATCTTAATTTATATATATATATATATTTGAATAGAAGGCATTCAGTTTTGTAGCGAAATCGTTTATCCTATAATACCGTAAGTTTCGAGTGTCAGTTACTGTCTTTTCCTTATTTTATCCGTTAAAAATATTTGCCATGGCTACAGTATGCCACACCTCCGACCTTACAATCGATGCAATCACAGCAGAACGGTCGCGATATCACAAATGTCAACATAAAAAAACCGAACCCAAACACGAATTTCGCACGCTTTATACTCATTAAAACGTTATCGAGGTGGTAAAACTGTGAGCTTGCACTGCCGAAACATGTAAACATGTGATATAGCATTTTATATGTAGAATTAAAAAAAAAACATAGCCTATGCTACTCACAGATAAATTACCTTTCTAACGGTGAAATAATTTTTTTAATAAATACAAAAACACATATCTTTCCTCTTTGTAATGTTAGTATAGATTTAATTTTTATGGGTATGAAATCAGCTAGATCCAGTTACAGGCTAGTACATAACCGAATAAAATTGATTTTCTTTGTGATATTAATTAATGTTTCATTCGTTACTAGCATTTGACCGCGACTCCGTCGACGCGGAATTATAAAAAAACAAATGCAAGTACCATATGTATTCTTCTAGATTATCCTCTACATTTATTCCAAATTTCATCGAAATCCGTTCAGCTATTTAGGCTACACACTCTAATAAATATCCATCCATCCATCTAAACTTGCATTTATAATATTAGTAAGAAATGTGACCAATTGTGGAATGCTAGTGTGAAGTGTGGTAATTAAAGATTTTTCAAGGTTAGGGGCGCGTAATGAAAATTATACAGTTTAAGATTTTACACAAATCGACAAATGTACGCATTAAATTTTCATCCGATGGTAACTAATCGTGTTACTTAACACCGGCATAGGCATACAAAGAGATAAGGTTTTGTTTGTAGCAAATAAATTGTCTGGATCTATTTAAAAGTTCTTTCACAAGTAGAATGTTACATTATCATTACGTAATATAGGCTATTTAATTAACCGTTGAAAATACATGTGTTTCTTGTTAACATTAATTATAAGATCCTTTTTACACGAAGATTTCTTAATTATTCTATGTGCTTAATATTACGTATTAAAAAGATTTCTTGATGAAACCCATCTTTTCGATAATCAAATCTTTTTATTTACCTCGTCCAATCAACTTTTAGTTTTTTTTTATGTAACAATAACAATTCGAAGGCGAGCCGGTCAAGGTTGTAAATAGGTATTTAAAATATTGCCTATTGAATATTCATAAATCGTATTAGTAGAAAAAAATATTCACTTCCTTGCTGTTAGTTTCCACTGCGGAAAGACCTGGACAGAAACGTATTATTGTTGTCTCTGTTTATTTCAAAGAGTGTAACAGAGACAGCAAGAGCTTTCGGCAGTAGGAATTTCACAGTTGTATTATAAATGTTGTAATAATTTTTCCTTTTAGTTTATTCTAAAACTAAAGTTTTAAGATTTTGTTTTCCACTAAAATGACGACAGAATTTTGCACAAAATTTTGCAATAAAACTTTTAAATTTAAGTGGACGTTTAGTTACTTTTGGACGGCTTACAATGGAATTAATTAAAACCCAAACCTCGCTAGTAGCGTCGGGAGTTGTGGTAGCTACACCCCTAAAGCATGAAATTGTAAAATAACTTTGAATAATTCCACTGCCCCTATAAAGGAATCTAAGATGATCGGCTGGCGACGCCCATGAAAGCCAATTGTATTTTTAGCTGATTTAAAAATTGTGCGCACTAATTTAACATATATTTAGCGTACAAGCTTATGTTGATCATTTACAACTACATTACTCGCTTACTAATTTTAAATCGGGCAATGAACCATGGCTTCTGAATTAGATTAAGCTTTGACGATAAAATAATTTTGATTATATCACTATGCACCCAGAACATCACATTTGCCACAAGTGATAAGCGAAAGCTATTAACATATATTCTAGAACATAAGAATAATAAATGAAAAAAAAATGTATCACGCTAACATCTCTGTACAAGTATTAATTATTACAACAAACAATTTCAATCTACGGCAGCGTAGACAAAAAACGTATTACCAAAAAAAAGTACATTTTTTTCTACGACGATAAAACAATGAAAATGTAAAAAAAGGTTTAATGTGTATTACTCGAACTCAACCTTAATTTTTAATTTTAGTAGATTTTTGTTAATTTACTAATATTTCCTTTCACCATTCCAACTAAGCTCTAGGCTTGTGCTAGGATATAGTTTACGACAATACTCGAATGGCTGGATTCGAACCCTCGACCGCAAGATCGGTAATCCGTACCCCAAACCATTAGGCTATTGGCGCTTATATTAAGGGATAACTTTGATTCAAATTTTAATCATATTTATGTATAAACTTATATGAACAAATATATTAAAATTGCAACTTTACTTAAAAAGCCCGAAATAAGTATTTTGCAACATATAAGGACGTTACTTAAATTTGCCTAGTAATAATTTCTTTCCAATCAAATACTACACTGAAATTCACTTTCAGGAATTTTCAATAACAAAACGTTAGGGACTTAGTTCTTAAGTTACCATAACGATTACTTCTTATTGAAAAAAATCATTAAAACCCCAAACTCCTTCCTAACAATACCCTTTAAAGGTGATAAATATTTCTTACATAAATGTACTGGTAGCAAAACATATGACTATTAATATTTTAATCAATTTACGTCAAGGATAATGATTTTTTAATAACATCGGTGATTTTTTTGCATAAACACACTGTTAATTGGACAACTGTCATGCAAATTATGATTTATAACCTATAAGATTATTTTTATAACATAGCTAAAATAAATATTCTCAAATCTCAATATCTAGTAACACATATAATGAAGTTCATCTCTATTAAATACTCGATTATTTTAATGGACATATTAAAATAAATTATACACCCACAAAAATATGTAAATGAATTGAGACCTTTTAGAAGTCTCTTAAAAAATAATGTACTCACCCTAAAATATATTTGCTTAATATATCAAATAATTCACATCAACTAACCCCTAAGTAACTCACCGTGTAGGAAGACGACCATAGCTAGTCGGTACACATTGTATGCCCTCATGTCTCACTCGGCCCGCAAACACACAGTCACTGCTTGCTCGTTCGCCCGGCGACTTTATAAATACTATCGCAGAAGCGACGCTTACCGCTCCGTTTTCGTTTATGCCCACAACTGCCAGCCTCTCAGAGGCTTCACACACTTATTTATAAAAGTATTCCAATAAATAATATTGAAGACACGTTTTACGTGTTGCTATTTATTTAGAAATTTCAGTTTACTATTTATTGTAAAACGTAAATATCATCAATACTGATAAATAATTATATTCAATAATATTATATCAGATTTAAAGATAATAAAACAAGAATTATCTTTAGGATCAGAATTTCAATTTTGTGAAAAGGCACGTTCCTTTACAGCATTGCAAAACGTAGGTAGTTAAATCCGTGTTATCAGACAGACTATATTTAATAATATAAATTAACGATTAAATCGTGATGTTCCGTGATTTTATAATTTTTACCTGAAATTTTTCATATACGACCTTTAGATTTCAACTGTCACTTATACATTAGCTTCCATCATTTTTTTTCTAAAACTCTGTGTACGTTGAGTTACTGCCAAGAAGTATTTTTTATATGAAGTTAAGTAGATTATTAAAATGAATATGTATGTCTTGTCTGTTTTCTATTCGTAATTCTCATATCTATGACTACCACGCGACATCGCACGTTAGCTTGTAACATTACCCGAGGTGGCTTAATGCCTAATTTTACAGCCGCAACTCTCTTTTAGGGCTAATGTTTCCGCTTCCTAGACTGTAATCGACATAAAAATGGAAAAATAAACTAGGTTAGAACCGCGGAAACTAAGGAATCGAGGTTAGGCTAGTACTACCAGCTGCCACCCTCTCCACCTAAAATTCCGCCTTTCGTCTGATGAGTATGCGTGCCGGGAACCTAATGTTAATCCTGTCCCCCTTTCCACTCTTTTCGTACAAGGAAAGGAGATGGGAAGGGGAAGTTGATTTGTTGGCTATTAGAACGCACAATTAGAAGTGTTTCCTTTTCGCGCGTCTCGTTCTTTGTTGATTAAATGAAGGCAAAGCATCTGTAAATACCGATCTGTGGGCGGTGGTCGATTCGCTATTATGACGAATTCCGGTGGCTGTTTAGTCGGTTATTACCATATACTATAAAAAAGAAACAGTGTTTTTGTACAGCGGTAGTATCAATAAAATTCTACACAAATCTAACGATAGACCTTCAGATATAAAGGATGTTAGCCGATATTTAATGATTTACACATATTTAGTGTTATTCGTTAATTTAAAAGTAATAACCATTCTCACGCATCTAATTTATCTTAAGAGCTGTCTTAATTTTAAATAAAATTGTTTTCTTCTCTTTATTATTAGGATTACTAACACTAAGCTTTTTTTTACTAACAAAATATGAGATTTTCTTGAAATAAAGATTTATTATTATTAATTATTCCCCTGTCAAAATCTTTCTTTTTGTACATAAAGTCTCTTTTCGGTCTTCGTATTTGCACTTTCGAAATATTATCTTATTAACTTTAATTCTCTTAAAATCCAGAGACAACGGTATGTTTTTCTACAGGTTTCTTGGTTTAACAAATCCACAGTTTAAACTTTCAAGGTATAGTCCATAGCATAAACACATTGAAAATTCTTAAATTCAACAGTTTTTGTCACATGTTTTGAAACATTTCCTCTCTGGGAGTATATTTTATTTCAAACAAAAAACCGGATTTTTGGTCTCTTAACTTAGCACAAGCAAATGCGTGTCCTTGATGGTATGTTTTTGCACAATTTAATTATGTACCTATGTGATATGAGTTTCCAGAGTTGAAAGATACATTTAGTTTACGCGAGATGACAATAGGTGTTTTGGAGATGGAAAAAAATAAACTATAAAATTATGGGAGTTATGAGCAATTTTAAATAGTTCAAATGAAACCACGGCAGTTAACCCAGTCTAGTTAATCCGCTTTTGAGTAACTAGTAAAAATTATATTTTTGTAAAAGGTTATGTAGTTATACTTTTTGTTGTAAGTGACGTCTGAACGTAAGCTGTATTTAACTTCGTCATAATCTGGACAATGAGTGACTTGTTAACTAGACATTGTACATAGAAAATCTGTTAACTATACGAAGATGTTAATTCTACTTTTTACTGTAAATTTGATATTTTCGGTCAAGCTATAATAACAATCTCAGTTCTCTCTCTCACAGATCAGCTGTTGCCAGACATCTTTGTATCTGAACGAATGGACAATGAAATCTCAAAGGTTGCAGGGTCGGTGATACGAGAACTGCACAGATAACCTGTCACGCTCGTACCGTGTTCTCTCTACATCATTAATCTGTATTAACACGGTAAAAGGGTTACACGAATAAGTATTATTGTTACGTAGGTTATCCGACATTGTAACAGATGTAATCTCAAACTAACTAACTGTCGTATATCCACACAAGCTGTAATATGTATGTCAGATGTCAATACACACTTTAGGTCACTGCGTCATTATTTGATGAAGATCTTACTAATGCGAAAATCGTTCATGCGAAAATTTAAATGGATGGATTATTGTCTACAAAATTTAGACATCGCTATCTTAATGCGATCCCCCATTTGTCAATTGAAGGTGGGCAACGCATCTACCTTCTAAATAGCAGATGTCTCAAGCTGCGGGACTCTTTTATAAAAATCGTTTGGCCGCTTTTTGATTGCCTCGTATTAAAAAAATCTGTTTATTGGGATACAAGGCGGCGATATCGTAGTTGGTTAGTAGCTAGAACCGATGTAGTTTAGCACGCGACTGCCAATCCGGATCGCGGGGTCGTTGCACCCGCCACTGCCACTAAACTGTTTTATACTCTACTACTATTATTCTTATTTTATATTGTACTCTGTGGCTATTGTTTTATAGATCATAGTGAACTTTTATTGACCTCCTATTTTACCACCGACAGTTTCTGAATTTTTTTTTACCAAATTATGCCGTTAAAGTTGTTTGCTATTATATTTTGTGTTTTAATTCACTAGTATAGAGGACGTTCTTTACAAGATATTTAACTATCCAAAAGAATCTTGTTTAATAAATTAAAATAAACCGAATGGCAAAGAAGTAAAAAATAGTGCAGACAGAGTGGAGTATAGATTATATCACCTTCAGACAGGAATGATTTATAATGTGCAGTGCAGACGATGCATTCTTATTTTACTGTCTAGCCTTCATTACTCTATGGATTTTTTGTATTCGATAAATTTTATGTTTTTGCTATCATTGAAATTTTGAGTAGATTCAAAGTCAAAGGTACGTTTAAACCAAGTTTGTTTTTATATGTTAACCTAATATTACCTGTTCGTTTTATTACTGTGGATTTTATGTAGTAACATTACGTTGCATAGACACAATTTTAACAAATGACTGTCACATCTCGATATATGTAATCATCTCATTATGTGCTTCAAGATAACGTAATTACTCCAATCCATATTAATTATAAAAAATGCATTGTTAATATGACCAAAATATTGGACAATTGTTTTATTTATGTGACCACGCGTAATCTCAGTTCGTACGATGTTGATACGATGATTATCATGAACTATGACCTCGTGCCACTGTTTCTATCCGGAATGGCAGGCACTAGGTCGCTGCAGGCGTGCAATTTTTGTTTCGCTTTTTTTATCACAGGAGGAATTCTGTATTGTGCATATTTAAACTGCTCGTTAAAACAAGAAGTGCGATGAAAGTATAGATGGATTGTTTGAAAGAGGCTAAAGAAGGGAGTGGATTCAGATATGACGGCTGATAGAGATGTATAGAAGAGCAGCACATACTGTGCCGAACTTCTGTAGGGACAATGGCAAGTTGATGATGAATTAGGACAACTCTGGCTTCGCTAGTAGGGGCATTTGTTAATGATTTAAAGATAATGTTGTATTCTAATATGAGCAAGATATTTCGAATTGATTTGGTAGAGAAGACAAGGACCGGTAGATAGATATAGGAAAGGGAAGGTGGCATGTAATGCATGCAGGTTAGATTTAACGGCTGCAGCTAGAAACCGCCGATAACCAGAGCTATTTCGAACTGTCAGGCGTGATAACGGATAGTCTAAAGGTCTAGGGGCATCTTTGTTGTTTTAATAATTATCTACGCCAATGACACGAAGTGCATAAGATGCTGTAATGTTTTCATTTTTGTAATCGCGATAGAAACCAAGGTTATGTGACTTGGAATATAAATAGTTGTTGATATGATAAAAAATAAGATTAATTTCGACTATAAGGAAACTGATAAAATTATATTGTTTTAGTTATTAATTGGATTTACAAGTTTAAAAACTTTCGTTTACCTAATAGTTGTGTTCTGTTCAATCAAGTTTAGTTGAAATATTTGTACAACCTTGTGTGATGATAGTTAACTTATTTATAACTAGCTGTTCTCGTGCGACTTTATCCGCATGAAATTATGAAAAATTTATTTTATTGTTTACATTTGTCAAATTATCAATAGCAAATGTCAAAATGACATGACATGACAAATTTTGGCAATCTTGCCTCCTTGATGTTGGCAGCAACTTTTGGTCTCTTTCCCACATTAGGATTTTTAACTAAAATATTTACCCCTTAAGTTCAATTGCGTGAAAATGTAAGGCTTTTCATTTAAAAAAAGGATTATTCAAAAATATGCTGTAATTGCTGACACATTAGGCAACAAAGAAGTGTGTGTTTACGCTTTATTATAATAGTATAGATTATCTGTTACCTTAATTAAGATTATTATTAATGTTCCATATGCATTCATTGGAAGTGAGAATATCCGGGTTGCTTTATTAGTGACACCTTTGATATTAATATAATCTTTGTTTGCTTTGAATTCGCTATTTTACCGTGACCGTTAGACTGACGTGTAAGTTATTTTTTTTTTAGATAATGTATGCAAGGAACACTATGATTTATTAAGTTTATCAACGTGGATTGATATAAAAAAGTAGTCTAAATAACTCGCGCGTACTTCAGCCACCAGTAAAAGCTTCGTTCAAATGTTATTAATAGTATAGATAACCAAGTGGCCAAGATTATCCATCAAC